CATATGCCACTGTGATACTGTGATATAACCAATATGTATTTTTGCCTTTGTCTCTGATTGCTGGCTAGAGACCCGAAAACCTTTGTGATTTCCTAGGTAATAATAAAGGTGCTAGGAGCATTCCGTGTTCAAATGACACAACTTTCGGCAGATTCTTGGATGGCTGCTGGTCACCAGAAAGTCCAAACCATGATTAGAAGGTTGGTAATTTAATCCCCATCACCCACTGTCTGGAGAGGGAAAAGGGGCTAAATATTGAGTTATTAATCTATCATACCTACATGATTCAGCCTCCATAAAAATCCCAGAAGTATGGGGTTCTGGGAGCTCCTGGGTTGGTGAACATACCTGTGTGCTGGGAGGGTAGTGCACTCCAGCTACCCTCTGTGCTCTGGAGTCTTCAGAAGCTCGCACTACGTATCTCTTTATCTGGCTGTTCACCTGCATTCTTTATTATATAATAAACCAATAAATGTGTTTCCCTGAGTTTTGTTAGCCATTCTAGCAAATTATTGAACCCAAGGAGGGGTACTGAGAACTCCAATTTATAGCTAGTCAGTCAGAAGCACAGGTGACAACCTAGGACCTGCAACTGGTATCTGAAGTGGCTGGCAGTCTTATGGGACTAATCCCTTAGCTTGTACAATCTGACACTAACTACAAGGAGACAGTGTCAGAACTGAACTGAACTGTAGAACGCCAGCTGGTGCTGGAGAATTGGTCTGTGTAGGAAATAACCCATACATTCGGTGGCCAGATGTGTGAATATGGTAGTAGCAGGGAGTAAAGGAACAAGTTCAATTCAGTTACTCTTCTAATTAACTTTCGACACATACCTTTGTCTCCCAGCAATTCAACAAAACTGTTCTAAGCACAAAATTACTTTGTCAAATTCAGCAATCTATGTGCTGCTTCTAGTCTGGACAGATGAAGTCATGAGAGCAGAGCAAACTCTCTAGGGTGATGACAAGCGGTTTTTAAAAAACAATCTCATTTTACCACAGTTAAAAAAAACAGCAATCTAGAAAACAGCCTCAGCCCTCAAGATATCAATAGTAAACTGTTTTGAAATTTTAAAGGCTATTTATATAATTTTTTATTCTTATCAAGAGTTAGGTTGAGAGATAATACTATGGGGCAAACAGTTAACATTTGAGTCGAGAAGGCAGTCTGTTCGGCCCTTTATTTCAGTGCACACACGTCACCTCTCTAGGCTCATCCATTCACTCAGTGAACTCTAGTTACACTAGGCTTTTTGCTGTTTTTCAAAAAAGCAGGCTCCCACTTTAGGGCTTTCTGGTTTGGAGTGTTCCTTCCTCAGATAACCAACCACATCTGCCGGCTCTCTTCGATCTTAACTCTTCTGTCACCAGCACACTGAGGCTTACCCTGGCCATCCCCAACTGCTTTGTTTTTCTCCTTTACATTTATCACTATGTAACAAGATTTTTGTTCTGTATCATCTATTTCCCAGTTACAATGTATGCTTCACAAAGGCAAGGAGGTTTCTGTCCTCTTCACTGCTGTACCCAAGCATCTAGCAAAGGATATAAATATAAATATAGGGCATGTCTTGGATTAGGAGAAAAAAGTTAATAATCATTGTCCTCTACCTATAAGTTCAAAATATTCCCAAGCACCACTTTTGTTTTTAACTAGAAAAGTAGCTCATGTTTAATTTTTAAAAAATTCAAGCTTTCCTCCTTAGCAGGCCAATCCCCAGCCCAGTTGATGTTTTCGCCTTCACTACTCAAGGACTGTTATATTCTACATGTTAAAAACCAGTGATACTAAACTAGGTTTGACACTCAACAATCTGTTAAATATCCTATCCTGTCAATATGCACAGATCTACTCTATTTTTCTGGCTGCAGAGGACAAGACACTACAATTGTAGCATTATTTACTATTTCCCTTACTGAAAGAGTGATTTGTTTCCGGTATTGCTACTATAAGCAATGCAGCAGTGAATATCCTTATATACACGTAAGAGATCACAAATGCAAGGCCAAAGGTATGCACACACAAACGTTTGAAAAGTATTGCCAAATTCACTTCCAAGAAAGGCACACTAATTTATCCTCTCATATCCTTATTGCACTGGATAAAATCTTTATGTTTTTCTAAAAAATAAAATATGGTATTTCACTTTAAAAGTTTACACGTCCAAAATCACCAGTAGCATAAAGTATCTTCTGTTTTGTTTTTCAAATTTTATTTATTTATTTGTAGGGGGAGAAAAAGAGAAACATCAATTTTTGTTGTTCCGCTTATTTATGCATTCATTGGTTGATTCTTGTGTGAGCCCTGACCAAGGATAAAACCTGCAGCCTTGCAGAATCAGGATGATGCTCCAATCGAGCTACTTGGCCAGGGCACAAAGTATCTTTTGATATGCTGATCAGTACTGCTGATCTTCAGTGAATTGCCTACTTACATCCTTTGCTCATTTTTCTACTTCATTACTTTTTCTTAATTAGTAAGAGTTTTTTGTGTATTAGGAACACTAGTCGGGCCTTGGCTGGTGTGGCTCGGTGGACTGAACACCAGTCTGTGAACCAAAGGGTCGCTGGTTCGATTCCCAGTCTGCGCACATGCCTGGGTTGCAGGCCAAGTCCTTACCTGGGAGCACACAAGAGGCAACTGATCAATGTATCTCTCACACATGGACGTTTCTCTCCCTCTTTTTCTCCCTCTCTTCCTGTCTCTCTATAAATAAATAGAATCTTAAAAAAAAAAGTTTACAAAAATTTCCTATTCTTTTAATGGTTTGGTTTTGTTCTTAGCTGAACTCTTTCACCCACCTGTACGTTATTTGTATTGAGAGGTATCTGACTTTACATCCAAAAAGGAGCCGACAGCCTTACTACACTAAATGGAATGTATCTTCCCATACTCATCAGCAGTGCCTTCATCCCGAACCTAATATTTACTCATAATGTATGTAGATATCTGTGTATGTGTGTGTGTGTTAAGTCCTTAGTCAGTTCCCAAACCATGGGTCTGTGGCTGTCCCAGGGGACTCTTCTGACTCTATTCTTCACTTTTTGGCTCAGGGAACCCTGAGGACTGCTCCACCTTCCCTAAAAGTTCTCTCCTACATGAATTCCTCTATCACCCAACTCTGTCTGTTTCCTCTATTTTAGCAATTTCTCAGATTTAGTGTGGTTTTTTTTGTTTGTTTGTTTGAATCTTCACTCGAGGATATGTTTATTGATTTTAGAGAGGAAAGGGTAGCGGGAGAAAGAGAAACAATGATCAGTTTGCTTCTTGTATGCACCCTGACAGGAGATGAAACCACACACAACCTAGGAACATGCCTGACCAGGAATGAGTCTGAAAGCTTTCTGGTGTATGGGATGATGCTACTGACTGAGCCACTGGGCCAGGGCAAAGATTTAGTAGGCTTTTGATAGTATTTGTTTTTTTTTCAGCACTGCCAGAAAAATTTTGGAAGTATCTTTCCAGCCTTGACCATGTTGGGCATCATCCTGCAGAGCAAAAGGTTGTCAGTTTGATTCTTGGTCGGTTCCTGGTCAGGGCACATGCCTGGGTTGTGGGTTTGGTTCCAGTAGGGGCATACATGAGAGGCAACTGATTAATTTCTCTCTTGCATCAATGAGATGTTTCTTTCTCCCTCCCTCCCTTCCTTTCTCTCTAAAATAAAAAAAATCTTAAAAAAAATTACCTTTTGTCATGTAGAATGGGGAATATATGTTCTTATGGTTCTATCATATTGACCCTTTCTCATGGATTTGTTCTTTTTTCATTTACAAAGGGTTTGTGAAAGAAGGTGATATTAATAGGCAATCTCCATCAGTGATCTTGAACCTAAAGTCTCAAATAACATTTTAAACTCAAATCCCAAACCACTGGAATCTTATGAACAAGGAGGTCCAAGCTGTAACGGCAAAATAGTGTCTTGAGCCAGAGTCAGCCTGCTCTTGTCTACCTTTCCTGTACCATTCCTTACAAAACCCAGAATGCACCACTACATCCCTCCGCATACCAGATGCTTTCTTATCTATGATCTCATTTTGCCTAACTAAATCATATTATCCCTCTTTAGCAGAAGAAAAAACTAGGGCTAAACAGATTAAGATCATGTCAACAAATAAGAGGGCAAGTCAAATTTAAACCCAGAGCCATGTCCTTCCCATATACCCATTTGCATTCCCAAGAGGCAAAGGGGCTACCTTCTATTTCATCAAACATACCTCTCCACACTCCTGCCTCTTCGTCATGTTCCACTCCCTTTCTTATTTTCTTGGTGGAACAAGCATCAAGGACAACATGAAATGCAATCGTAATAGAGTAACATTTCTAACTGGAGATTATTAGCTCCACATAAGAATCCCTGAAGAGAAAAACTTTTATCATCTCAGCAAATATACGCGTTTTTCTTCTTTCAATGTATCTGATCAATGTATCTCTCACACATGGATGTTTTCCTCCCTCTTTTTCAGTAAGTTTATTATCAATTAGCGTTATTTCTTGAGGCTTATTCATAGCAAGTGCAGACCTAGAAATCTGCAGGTGACCTGACTCATGGAACCATATTAGATCTCTAAAATATATCAACCTTTCCATTTTAAAATGAGTTCCAAATGTCATGCTTTTAGTGACGAGCTGAGACTCACCCTCTTATGTTCTTGATCTGCTCAGGGTGACAGACCAAAGGGAAGCCTCAGTCTCACTCAGGTGTGTAACATCCAAATCCAGTCCCAGAAGACCTCTAGTTTCTATACTGTTCAATGTTCCAACACAAATGGCAAGTATCTGTGGTCTTTTCAGTTTACAGTGGTTGCAAATATTTTTAATCTGCATTAACTGTGAAATATGAAAGCCTTCTCGTGAAAGAAAATGTTTTAAAAAGCCAGAGTATTCCCCTTAGTGAAAATAGCCTGACACTGTATACAGATGTGATGCTCCTACTAACTCAAACCATGATGGCAAATAACGTCTATCAGATAGGCTGCGCCTCAACATTGCCCTTTTACCTGAACCTGCTGTGGCTGTTGAACCTGGATCTGCTGTTCTTGCTGAGTCTGCGGCTGAACACTGGTGGTGACTGGACAGGCAAGTTCAAGCAAAGACCCGGCCACTTCGGTGCTGTCTGTGTAAATGCAGTTCCCACCCTGCTGGTAGACCATGGTAGTGGTAGCCGTCTGCTGGAACTCCTGAAGGGCTTCTGGCCCCTTAGAGGCTAGTGAGTCCAGAAATTCCTTCATCCTGTGTTGTGGGACAGACCGTGCCTTTACTCGGATGTATTCTTCAAAGGAGATGGTGTTCTCCAGAGAATTATTCATATTGTAGACTCCTTAGGGTTCCTAGAAATAAAATAAATAGCCAGAAGTCAAAATTATATTATTGTTTTTCTATCTTGAAATGCACAGGCCAGTCATAGTTGCATCAGAGTGAAGAGTCAGGGCAGCTGTATGCATCTGGAATCCAAAGTAAAGTTTTATTATATCACCTTATCTTTTCAATTAATGGTATCTGAAAATTGTTTCCATAAACATTTCTTAAATCAAACTATCACATTTAAGACAAACAAAAGCATGCGTCACAGTACTGGATGAAACAGGCCAAAACCACACTCCCCACCCAGCTCTAGGCCAATCCCATCTTTTCTGCAGAGCCACGCATCGGACAGTAAGTCACATGCAAGACTGCTCTGTGACCATCACAGAGACGACTACTAAGGAAGCTAGGAGGAGGGATTCCTACTGACATGTTCTATTTGCACAGTCAACGATGGCCTGCAGGGAAGGGACAGGTATGCCACCTAGCTATGGCAAGACCCAAGAGACAGGGGACGTGTCCTTTTTCGCCTCCCATCAGAACCAACCAATTTCCACTTTGCCAAAAACCACTCACATTCTTTTGTAACATAGCTTACTAATTAAGAGCATGGCTTTTGGAGCCAGACTGCCTATGTTCAAATCCTAGCTCAGTCTCTCCTTAGCTGTCTCATCCTGGACAAGTCAGCTAACCTTAGTTTTCCTATCTATCAAATAAGGATAAAGTAGTATTCACTTCACAAAGTTGACATGAGGATAAAATAAAATAAAACATATTCTTTTAACATTATTAAAATAAGTGAGGGGTGAGTTGAATAATGTCTTAAATAACTAGGTCACTACTAAAATTCAGAAATCAATTATGTAAGTTTTCCATTGGGGTATTTACCTTGAGAACTAATCTGCAGGAGTGGGCACACTCCCAATTACCTGGAGGACAACCCTGCAGCCTGTCTATGGACGGCTGAGTGCTCTGCTGCTTTCATACCATTCCTTCTTGATCAGTTCTACCTCCAGAACAGCAGCAGCAGCAGGATGTGAGAGTAACACAAAGTGAACTTTTTGCCAAAAGGACTCTCAGTCAATCTCAAATGTCTGGAAAAGTGATTTGTTTCCTTGAGCCATTATCAGTCTCTCTTTCACTGCCCACATGTTCTGCCTTATGTTACAGGTATAAGGTGTTTATCTATCTCATCTCTTCCAACTGTCAGTCAAGACTGTATCCTTGTCCTCTCTGAATGGCTGGCATGTGGTAGGTGCTTCGCTGCATTTGGAATGCAATGTGGAAGAAGGATTATGACTCTTTGCTCCTGTAACATCTATAACTTACAACCATAAATGTTATGCTTTTCCCTAGTAAATGGTTAGTATAAACCTTGGGGGGAAAAAACCCAGAGCAAGCGTGAGACCAAAGAAAAAATACAGCTTACAGCTACTAATTTAGTGACACTGGCAATATTTCTGTGGAGTGCTGTTTAAGTATTGCAATACAAATTATATTCAGGTGCTTTCGAACAGAACAGACCCAGCAATAAATCTTTTATAATGATGTACATAATATACTGTAAATGTATTTCTCCACCAATAAAAAACAACACATATCTTATCCTGTCTAAAATCAAAATTCCTAGGAAACCCCACCAACAACTGAGTGCAAAAAATAGCAAGTGCAGGTCAAGAGAGTGCAAGGTGAAGCCGCCACGGATGGCCTGTTATTGTCTGTAATTTAATTCTTGTTTGTCCCCTTTACACCCCCCTTCTGACCCTCTCTCTGCTTGCCCCGCTCTTCCTCCACCGCTTCAGGGGCTTTCAGTTATCTTCTCTCAGTGGCAAACTAGGAGTCTGCTATGAGACTTCAAAACTAAGCTCTCAATGACGCCCATGGCGCATGTGAGTAAGAAGAGCACCAGGGCCAAGCACTCCATCCTTCCACTGCATATTCAGTGCAAGCCACTCCAGAGCAGGTGTCCCACAGACTCAGCACATCGGCACAGCCCATGTCAGAGCTTCCCTTTGATAATGTGACGACTGGAATTTCCCTCTTAAGAAGGCACCTCTCATAATAGAGACTCAACAGCAGTATGACGTTCACAACACGTGATTCTAATACCTAATTACATATATGCTTCTGCTCAAAAGGAGACAAAGGAGAGATTATGTGAACAGCAATTAGTAACTGGTTCTCTACCATGTTGACACTTATTTTTTTTACCTTCATTATAAAAGAACAGCAGAGGTGAACAGAAATTTACACTTCCCCAAATTTCTTTTCTTCAACAATTAGTTGCATTCTTGTAAAATACTTAGAGACTGCCTGAATTCTGAAGATTGCATGTGCTGGAATCACAGCTACTGTGTCAAAGCAATTTTTTTAAAAGAAAAAGTGTACAGAATCATGCAGCAAAAGCTTTGTCTCAAATCTGAGAGAAGACAGATACGACGAACACAAAGAAACATTCCAAATTAAGTTTACAGAACCAGGAAACCTTCATACAGACATTGCTTTTGGTAAAGGCAGTCCCTAGAATCTTCCCAGTGACCTTCTTTCCTTTCACTTTTTCAAGTTTCAGTAATTCCAGAAGCTTAAGCCTCATCTGAAGTCTGATATTAAATATAAAGAAGAAATAACCAACTTTTCTTCCTAGAAACAAGCTTTCTTCAGTTTTCAGTGTAGAATTCCACTTTGGTGTTCTGTTTTTGTTTGTTTGGCTTTCTTTTTGTGGGGGCGGGAGGAAGTAAAAGTAATATATCCATTTTCTAAGAAAAATGGTTCAAATACTATAGGAAGGTATAAAATGAAAAGTAAAAACAACTAAGAATGCTTAGGCGTCTCTCTGGTTCTTGATCAACCAATTTTAAATAAACACTAATCTGTCCTTTAGGAACAGTGAGGTTAGGGCATTAAGTCACCTTCCTCTCACCAACCTCTGCCAATCATATTTTTATTCTTGTCATGATCACTTTCATAACTTTAAACCTCTGTTTGTGGACTCATTAATTTTAGAATATGTCTAGACTTCCCACTATATAACATAAGGAAATTAAAGTTCCATGCCCTCTGTTTTTGACATTTAGTCAAGTGAATATAATTTGTTAATTCTTCTAGTTTTAGAACACAACATTTCATACCAAATCAAACAGAGACCTTTTTTCTAAATCAAGTTTCCAAAGATGATAAAAACCATTCTGCTCCAAACAAGTCCTACTTGTCAGTATTTCTAGACTGCAACCTTCAATAATGTCACTACAAGAACCTCTAGTCTAAATATAAATTTATTCCCTGAGCAGAAGGGCAAATAAGATAGTCATCTCTCCAAAAGGATGGAAAAGGGTATCTGCTATAAAGTCTCAAAGTTAATTTTTTAAGCTTTCAACAGCAAAGGGAAAAGGTAATAGCTTGAAGTAGAAAAAATTCTGTAAAACTTAGAAAATGTTGATAAAGGTTCATACACAGGTGCTCGTTATATTCTTCTTTATTTTTGTGAAAATATTTGAAATATTCAATGATAAAAATACCTTTTAGTTAGCAGCTAGCCCTGTGTTTTAAGTAGTTTAGGCTCCAAAGTGTAAAACCCCCTGCAGTGCTCCAAGCTTAGAGCCTGCTGTTGCTGGGGCTTCAAGCAGAAGCCACTGTTTCCATCTGCCTTTTTCCTTTCACTACGCCACCAGGAGGTTCTTCACAGACTCTGTGAAGTCCACACAATCATTTGAGAACCACAGAATCAGAGCAAGCTAAAATATATTAACAAGTAATGTATTCAAAGGAAAACCTTATAAAAAATTAATTAAAAAGGCCAATTTAAAAAAACATTCCAATCTGTTCATTTATACAGACTAAAACACACACAGCTTCATTTCTTGTCCTTTTAACCTGCTCACTTGGCAGTATCCACCCGACTGACACATCCCAATAATGAAAGTACACCAAGTCAGCATCTGACTTGACACAAAGGGCTGCTCGGGATGGGTAAAAAAAGCTCCAGGAATACACTGAAATATTTTACACTAGTCAGTGAGTAAAAGAAAAACACAGAAAAAGTAAACAAATTCTTAACAGCAATGATGGTTTCTTCCTTTGCTTTTATGTTCGGAGAGCCTTCCCTCCCATAATATCGGGTCATTTTCCATGTATACTTTTTTAAATTTACAGTCTAATTTTTAATATAATGCTTTGATACATTTAGTATTTTGCATAGTGTAAGATAAATGTCTAAAATTTTTCCCCAAAGACCAAACTACTTGTTCCTTTATCATTTATTTAACTATTGAAATTACTTTGCCACTGACTTGAAATGCCACTGTCATTACATACCCAATTCATATAAAGAAGTTCTGGCGCCTAAGCTTTTACTGTGTGATCCCCTAGATCTTTCTATAGCACAGGAGGCTTTTTAAAAAAGCATGTTAGTATCTGGAAGATTCTTGCCACCGCACCCAACACAAAGGTGGTTTAAAAAAATATATATATATATTTAAATTTATGTATATATGTATTTCACTCTGTGCATGAAAAGGGAACAAACCCAATTACATTGGTATATTCCAATATGTTTAATTATATGCATAAGAAAAAAGAGCCAGCAAAAAAAATGCATCTAAATGTTAACAGTAGTTTTGCTTGAATGGTGGAATCACAGAGGGCTTAAAGTTCCTATTGTTTAATACGCACCTGTATTTTCCAAAATTTGCATTAAACAAACAAAAATTAAAAAGTAAATTTTTTTTCAACAGCGGTTATAGCACAACAACACTAACAGTAACAGATACACAAACAATTCTGGTTGATCATAGCATGGTTTTCCCTCAAAATCTCAAACTCAAAGACAAAACCATCAAGCACCAGCTTCAAGGTGCTGTTCTTAAGATACACAAGGCTGCGCCTTTGTAAAAGAACAAGAGAAATGGATAAACTCAATGAATCTACTCTCTATAACCCCAAGAGAAACAAGATTCTCTTTTTTTTATTTTCAAGATGTTATTTATTTTTAAAGAGAGGGAAAAGAAGGGAGAAAGACAGGGACAGAGAGACATTAATGTGCAAACACCTCGCCCATGAACCAGGCATGGACCCTGAGCGGGAATTGAACTAGTGACCCTTCGGTTCACTAGTGAGCCAGCACTCAATCCACTCAGCCGCACCAGCCAGGGAAAAAACCAAGATTCTTAACTAGCTCCAAGTCAAAGACTTGGTGGGGAGCGGTAAATATTAATTAAAATACTTACAAAAAAACAAAGCTGGAGAGATAGCTGAGTACCCCCAATAAAGAGATGAGGAAAACACTCCAGGGCTCCATGGAGTGGGAGGAGTCTGTAAATAAGCATCTGCTTCGGAATACTTTAAGAATAGCTTCTTTGCAAAACAATAAACAGACAGCCTTCTCACTCCCAGGCTGTCTTGGCAAATGCTCTTGGTTGAGGGCCACCCCACACCTAAGGCAGGAAGGTGGTGGCCACAAAGAAGACAAAAAAGTCACTGGAGTCGATCAACTCTAGGCTCCAACTTGTTATGAAAAGTGGAATTATTGTGCTGGGGTACAAAAAGACTCTGAAGATGATAAGACAATGCAAAGTGAAACTGGCCATCCTTGCCAACAGCTGTCCAGCGTTAAGGAAATTTGAAATAGAACTAATGCCATGTTGGCCAAGACTGGTGTACGTCACCACAGCAGCAAATATATTGATTTGGGCACAGCGCGTGGAAAATACTACAGAGTAAGCACACGAGCTATCTTTAATCCAGGTGATTCTGGTATCTTTAGAAGCATGCCAGAACAGACTGCTGAAAACTAAATCATGCAGAATTTTTCTTTAATAAAACTGGCCAAAGCTTGGTTTAAAAACTGCACAAAACAAATATAAAAACAACCAATAAACAGACAAACCAGTCCCCCGACAACAGACCCAAGAAATCTGTTTTACGCACACCTTGATCTCTAGTATTTCCCCTGTCCTTCCTCTGTTAAAGCTTAGTATAGTACCTAACACAGCAGACCCTCCTATATGAATGTTATCATTATTTTATTACTTTATCACTAGAACACAAGATGATATCATGAACAAAGGTTACTCCAAAGCAGCAATCTATTACATTTCTATTGGTCTGCTTGCTATTTCTTTCTTTTTTTCTATTTAGATACTAAGGGAAGACCTAAGTACTCACTGGAATCATCCTTTCTTAGGTCCCCTCAAATCTGATACCTGACTCTCCACTCAGCTCCTCTGAGTGACTCTTGAATACATAACGGACTAGGAAAAGATACTGGGAACTACCTCAAAGCCCTGCCTCTTCCTATTCCCCCAACAGTCACGCTCTTGGGTACCTCTCAAAGCTCGTATCTACTTTAGCAATGACGCCTCAGCTTAGGAAGCCTAGTTTGAAGAACATATTCACTTGGAAAAAAAAAATCAATTTCCATTTTAAGAGGCTGCAGTCACATTTGTCCTAATTAACATAAGGAGTCATTGCAAGGAAGCAAATTGGGAGACATATTTCTGTTCTCAAAGATATTAATCCACTACAGGGTTTGCGATAGAAATTATCCCATTGGGCTATTCATCTGTCCCACACCTATACCAGAGGAGTCCCTTCCTTAGGGGCATTTTCACTATGGTTCTATTTTTGGACAACACACTTTCAAGTAGGAACTTAAATTACAGTCCTATCAAAGACTCAAGGGCTGTAAATTGGCACAACCATTTGCAATGTCTAGTAAAGTTAAAACGATCCATTTCATATGACCCAGCAATTCTATCCCTGGGTGTGTATGACACACATATATACAAAGGTACTTGTACTAGAATAATAGCATTGTTATTAGTAGTCCCAAACTAGAAGGATTCTAGATCTCTATCAACAGTAGAATGGATAAATAACAAACTATACCTGCACATAACATGGAAGTATTTCACAAACACTAAATACTAAAAGAAGGAAGACACAAAATACAGCATGATTCCATTTACATAAAATTCAAAAGTAAATAAAACCATGTGGTTGAGAGACACAAGGTGGTAAAAGTAAAAAGAAAAACAAAGAACATAATTATCACAGATGTCAGAACAGTAGTTGTCTCTAGGAGTTGAGAAGCTGTGATCAGAAAGGCACCCGTGAAAGGTTCAGTTCATGGGTGTTGGCATTTTTCTGAATTTTAAAGAGGTGGTAGTTAGATAGTGGTTCACTTCATAATTTTTCACTAAATTATGTACAGATCATCAGAATTTATATAGCTATTTCACAAATTCTTAGGGGAAGAAAAAAAGAGCTTTCTGACAAAAATCATAGCCTACCACCTCTACCTACAGTTTTGTCCTGTGAAGTGTGTGACCAAAGGACAATTCTTTCCTCCTTTCTGGCAAAGCAAGAGGTTAACCTATCATGTCTTCATGCAGCTACAATCAGCAATCACAATCCAGTACAACACTTAGGAAAAAATCAAATGAAGCATGTAAGTGAAGGCTAAAGGACTTAATACATCTGGAACAAAACCTGGGGCAACTAAATACAAAGTAACAGAAAAGAACAGGTGTTCATGCACGCCTCATTTTGAGACTGAGTAATAGAAAAAATTACAAATAAAGGGTGACCATTTAAAGAGTAGACAAGCAAGAAGCATGGCACATCAAAGACAACTCGCAACTGATTAAATTGAAAGAAGGCATGCAAGCATGAAGGAAGAAATCCCGGATTCTGAGGCTGTCATATGGAGGACAGCCACACCCAGAGTCACTGACTTTGGTTACTCTTTTTGGAGCAATTCAAATGTACAAGAAAATTCAACTACAATTTGATCTTTTGTTTAAAATGGCAATGTAGGCTGGAAAGGGGATGTGGAAAAGTGGGGGTTCATGGAGGGGTACACAAATTATTCATCAGAGGACTGGAAGCAGGACATCTGATAGGAAAATCTTAGTGAGCTTAAAAAAAAAAAAACACCACTATCTACAAACACCAGTTTAAAAGGTCCATCTCAAACTTAGTAAATAAAAAAGAGATATTTCAGAACAAGCAGGCCTGAGAGAAATTTAAGTGTTTCCTACATAAAGTTGACTGCTTTAGTATGAACCATTTAGGTCCTGAGGAAAGCTGATGCCTCAACATGCTAAAAGCCTGAAAGTTGTACTGACTTACTTTTTACCAGGAGAAATGTAGCAAACTGTGGCTGGATTCAAAGATGTGGTTCTCCCACATCTTCAATTTTCCAGCACCTAGTAATTTCTGGCAGAGAGCACCCAGAATGATTGACAGGATCTGTAATGTTTCAATATTACCAGGAAAAAACTGCACACATATTTCCAGCATATGAACGATTTTAACTCACCAGTCACCATGTTGCATGTATTTCTGCTGCTTGTCCTGAGTTCTTAAGACTTGTAACATTCTGAAGAAGACAGAACAAAGAAGTTCCTTCCATCCTCAGCCTCTTTTTAAATTTTAACTTTGTTCTTAAAATAATACAGTATATTTGAAAGAACTACCCCCATCATTAGCTTCTTTTTCCTTAAACTTAACATAAATTACAGCATGTTTTGTCTTAGAAAAAGAAGTGTGTATTTCTCTAGGACAAACCTAAAACGCCCCTAGTACCAGAACATGGCACTAGGGTTAAAAAAAAAAAAAAAAAAAAAAGGACTGGAAACAATTGAACTCTGTATCAAAAGTGCCTCTTGCAGTGATATACGGTCAAATTTTAGGAATTTCTTCTGATGGGAATATTGGAACTACAAAAGAAGGCAAAGCACTGATTTTCAGGTTGTTCAATTTCGTTCTGGACAACTTTTTGGCTGATGGATAGTGGGCCCTTAGTCTAACAGAATACAGGTCCCTCCCATCCACAAAGATGGGCTGCATTTAAGGATTTAATTAAAGTGGAATTTCAGAGCATGGGTAGTTTCACTTCGTCCACACAAGAGGATCCCCTTCCGGAGCGCACAGAGGTGACGTGTATGAATTGCGCTTATGGAAAAATTACTTTCTGATGACACGAAAGCAGGTAACGCTGAAGGCAGAGCCTTCCAGGACTACCTTCCTCCGCAGCACAAAGCAGCAGAGCAAGATGAGGAAACTCCAGGGGGCTCGCAGCCCTCACAGAGACTAGGTTTCAGAAGCAGGGCAGCACTCTCTTCAAGTACCCACCCCGCACAGGGGCCTCAGGTCACCGCATTATTCAAGAACGAGCAATTCTGCCCGCCTCGCAGAGAAGCGGAGCCGCTAGCCAGACCGCAAAACCGGTTGGTTTCTCGCGAGCGGCCAGGGGACGTCACCAGAGCAGGAAGGACCCAACCCGCAACCTTCCTCACACTGCCAGCCTCCTGCCCGCCGCCTCTCCGCGCAGCAGGGGTGTTCTGCGCGCACTCGCGGAGGCGCCGCCACCTAACAGCAAGGCGCGCGCCCCGAAGCGGGGGGTCGCGGGCGGGCGCGCGCCCCAGAAAGCCGTTCTTGCCCCCGGGCCGCAGTTCCAGGAACCAAGAAATCCAGCCCGGGAACGCGCACGTCAGCGGCCACGCGCACCTGGAGAGCCGCACGGCGCGCGCGCTCCCGCGCGTATAAACAGGCCCAGCCGCTCGCGAGCACCAGCGCGCGTTCGCGCGCCGCGCCCACCCGATCTCCATCCGCTCCTCCCCCACCCAAGGGGCGGGGGCGCGCGAACCCAGGGACATTCTCCGCTCTGGGGCCGCCCCAAGGTCTCCTGGGCCCAGCAGCAGCAGCCCGCCCGCCCCCGCCCGCCGTTGTGTGGGGTGGGCCCGCTGTCTCAGGCCCTCAGCCTCGCCGCATCCCTGCCCCCGCTGGATCCCTCACCCGGCGACGTCGTCGCCGCCGCTGCCGCCGCCGCCGCCGTTCTACCCGCCGGCCCCGCTGCACCGCTCGGGGGCCCGGTTCTGCCGTCGCCGCACCAAGACCGACAGGATTTTCCCCTCACAGCTCCCTGGGCGCCATCTTACATTCAACCCTCATAGCCAATGGGTGCCGAATGCCCCTCTCGCGATAATCCGAGCGTCGGGTCCCGCGAGAGTTGAGGCAGCCTCCTGGCCAGACTTAAAGGGAACGCTTCTGCCGAAGAGGTAGGCCTGGCCTCTGGCTGCAGTAGTGGCAAGAAGAGAGGTATAGGGCGGAGTACCCCGCCCTCGAACGCCTCTTCGCGCGGGGCGGAGCCAGGGCCGGGGATCGGCCTAGCCTTGGAGTCTGGGCAGGCTGGGGCTCGAAGCTTGCTCTGTAGCTACCTTCTGACGCCTGCTCGGGCTTCCTTAGGTCGCGCAGCCCCACACGGGGCGGGGCCCGGACTCTAGCTTAAGGTGGCCCCCCACAGCTCCTGAACTAGGCCTGCGCTTCAGCTGCGCCCCACCAGAGATGTCCCTGGGACACTCTCCTCTCCGTGTCCTTAGCATCTGGGATCCTCCTTCCCCACCCATCTTCTGCCTTTCTAGTCAGCCTTCCACAGCCCAGTCCACCTTAAAGCGGGCCTCTGGTAGCCTGGTGTTTGTATACAGGGAAAATGTGGAGGGTTGTTAAAGCTGCAGGCACACGCAGGCCTCGGCAGTAGCCTACCGTGCCCTAGCCTGCCACACTCTCTCTTAAAAAGGCCTCTGGACCTTTACCCTTGTTCCGCCTACCCTGGCAAACTATCCGTAATCCTTTGGGGTTCCCCTGGGGAGTCCCTTCCCGAGAGGACTCTGCTGAAGCCCAAGCTGGACCCGGAACCTCCTACAACCTCCTACAGGCCCCAGGGAAACCTCTCCTGCATGGTGCCTGGTCATTCGGTCTTCTCAGTGAGCCTGGCAGACTCAGTCATTTGCTGAATAATTGGACAGGGATCTTGGCCTCTCTTCCTCTACCTAGGCACCCAGGCAGACACTAACTTTCCAGAACCCTCTGGTGCAGGGCCCACTGCCATTCCCTCAGACCAGATGCAGAGGATATCCGTTCAGGCCCAGGCGCCTGCCCTTGGGCACCAAGAAGTGCACCAGTAGTTGTGTGCAGTGCACCATTGCCCCACTGCCACCCCCCAGCATGTCTCTAAGGCCCTCAGGTGCTGGGAGGGCAGACAGGTAACACAGACTCTGGGGGTGGATTTAGCTGTTCTTTATTGACATAGAGTCTGGGTACTCCTAGCCTCCAGAAGGATGAGGTAAGTCCATGGGGCTTCCGGCTCACACCTTTCCCGGGTCCTCCTTCAGTGTGACGGTCCGGTTGAAGACAAGCTGGAGAGCAGAGAGGCAAGAGTGACCACCAAACCAAAACTGGGCCAGGAGGTCCTGGGTGGATCTCACTACAGATACCCCACCACTACCCACACCCCATTCATCCCAGGGGGGCTGAGGGTCAGGAGACTTGGGTTCTCCGTAACTTTACGACTCTTAAGTAATGGATGGCTCTGGGCCTCCATTTTATAAGGAGTATAACAACCCCTGTGATTGCCCCCTTTGAGGAGTAAGAAAGGCAGAGTCCAAACAAAATTTTGTGCATGGACTTAATCTCTGAGCCTGCTTCCTCATCCGTAGAACATGAACCCCCACCTAAAGTGGTGAGAATTAACTAAGGAAATATAGACAAAGTGGTTGGCACAGTGAATGGAAACCATCATCACTGTGGAAAGGCCAGGCAAGTAAATTCAGGCACCTGTCCCTGGTGGCTGTCTGGGTCCACGGAGAAGTAGCCAAGCCGCTCAAACTGGAACTTGTCGAAGGGCTTTGCCAGGGCCACAGAACAATCCACTAATGCTGCCTCCACCACTTGTAGCGATGACTGCAGGCAAGGAACTCAGATGGCCATCCAGGCAGGGGGGCCCACCGCCCTCACCCTGTACCCCATGAGCCTACCGGGTTCAGGTCACTTAAGAATCCACCAGGCACCTCAGCAGGATCCTCAGGGTTTTTGTGCTGGAATCTGCAACCAGAGTGACGATCAGACTCCAGATGGGTAGCCCCAGCAGGCAATGCCCATCTTCTACCTGTCCCCACCCCTGCTCTGTTCACTCACAGTCGCTCATAGAGGCGAATCTCACACGTCAGAGGCTGTGACACCCAGTGAATAAAGGCCTTGGGCTTTTCTCCAGCATCTGCCCTTCTGCAGGTCACCTCCAGGCTTTCCACGCAGCCAGTAGGGCCCTTTTAGTCAAGGGGGAGAGGCCTGAAATCAGACTCTGGGACCACCACCAGAACTGCAGCCTGCACCCAGGTCCTCACCCCAGCAGGCACTACGGTGGGAAGGCTGCAGCTGGCTCTCACCTTCATGACTTGCTGCAGCTCGATGACATAGCCTGTATGCCTCAGCCCCACAGGCTGGCCCCGTGCCAGGCGCTTGTAGCCGGGCTCTGGTTCCTAGAGGTGGTAAATAGAGTAGCCACAAGAGGCTGCAAGGGTCGGAGACATACACGAGGTTCCCCCCCTGCCCCCGCCATGTTGGGCAGCAGTTGGTTTGCCTGAAGCAGGAAGTAAAATACTTCAGAACCGGGCTGAGCAGCAAACAGGAACTTCCACCCTCCCATTCACCTCCTTGAAGTCAGTCCTCTCAATGAAGACAATGGATCCAAAGGGAATCTGATGGAAGCCCTTAGTCTCATCAGCTGGGAAGTTGGGCACCTGGATGTCCAAAGACTACAAGAAGAAATGGGTGTCTGAGTCACACTAGGCACCTGAGTACCCCCACACCCCGCAGCAACACACACACACACACAGTCAGGCAGACCTACCCTGGCAGCAGGGAAGTTGGTGATGAGGACCTGTAATGGCTCCAGCACAGCCATGGCCCGCGGGGCTGTGTCATTCAGTACATCACGCACGCAGGCTTCTAGCAGATGTGGCTCCATTGTGGTCTGTGCCACTGTCACCCCCACCTAAGAAGAAAGGGCAGCATTGATCACAGCCACAACCACAGACTGCCGTGCTCAGTCCCCACCTGCCCACCCAGCCCAGTGGGCCATACCCGAGCACAGAAGTTGTTGATGGCCTCAGGCGGGAAGCCTCGCCGTCGCAGGGCTGTAAGTGTGAAGAGCCGTGGGTCATCCCAGTCCCTGTGCACAAGGAGGTGGTGAGACCTTTAGCAGTACATGCCACTAATCCCACCAACCTTTGAAGAGCCAAACAACAACTACATGTACCGCACAGCACCAGCTGCCACAAGCTGGAGGATCTTCCTCTTAGAGACAACTGCATAGTGGAGGTTGAGGCGTCCATACTCCCACTGCACAGGGCAATAGACGTCCAGAGCATTGCACAGCCAGAAGTAGGAAGAGCGTCTGGGGTAGGAGGGTACAGTCAGGACCTCAGACCAAGGAGAGACCACAGGAAGGGCTGCTGCAATCCCATTGGCCCTACCCGCCCCAAGGGCCCAGCTCCCTCACCGGGCCTGGAATTCCTTGGTGCAGAGTGAGTGGGTGATGTGCTCGATGGAGTCACAGAGGCAGTGCGTGTAGTCATAAGTGGGGTAGATGCACCTGCAGGGCATAGGCAGTGGGCCCCACCATCCAGCCCCACTGTGCCCCACCCATGGCCCACCAAACCACCCCATGCTCATACCCACCAGGTGTCCCCTGTGCGGTGGTGTGGTGTATACTTCACTCGATAGGCCACAGGGTCCATCTTGCCATCTTCCATCACCAGCTTCATCCGCAGCGTGGCCTCACCCTCCGCAAACTTGCCTTTGCGCATCGCCTGAGGGGAGCAAAGGCTCAGGCCGCCTCTCGGCACGGGGGCATCTTTCTCATCCTTGGCATCCTGGCCTACCCAGACCCACCGGCCCCTCCAGAATCCTACCTCAAAGAGTAGCAGTGACTCCTCTATGGGACGGTCTCTCCAGGGCGATGGCGGAGGGTTGTGGCCTTTGAGCTCCTCTCCCCGCTGGTGGCACACATAGGCCTGGCCCCTGTGGAGGAGGGGGTGTGAGTGCCCAGCATGACTGTGTCCTGGTCAGCCTGCCTGGCCCTGCATCATGGCCCTGGCCTCACCTGCGGATGAGCTCTGTAGCCCAGGCATACAGCTGGTCAAAATAGTCAGAGGCATATGTCACCTTGTAAGGAGTGTAACCTGAGGCAGAATGAGATACGGTATTAGCAGTCAGTCAGGGACTCCCAATGGCAGGCCATGGCCCAAGGAGATGCCCACTGACCACCAGCTCTGTCCAGACCTTGCTCAGTCCATACCCAACCAGGCCACCATGTCACAGATGGCAGTGAAGAACTTTGCTTCCTCTTTCTCAGGGTTGGTGTCATCAAAGCGCAGGAAACAGATCCCATTGTTGGCCTAGGAGAGTCGCAGAGTCTGTGAGCTCCCAACGATCAGCTCGCAGTCCAGCTCATCACACTGGAACATTCTCAGACCTCTCCCGTGTCAGAACTGGAAACGTCTTCAAGAGTTTCACTCATCTTCCTTTATCTCAATATTCTAAACAAGGCATCTCTTATTCCAAGTTGACATAAGACCGGTTGCACTGGGAATTCCCTCAAACTTGAACTCACTGCCTCATCTCAGAGCTTTTTCCCAATGAGCCTAATGGATTCCAAGGTATCTGCTGCACATGTGGTTCCCCTCCGTGGCCTCTGCTCTGGGCACGTTAGAGGAGAGCAGGGAAGGTATCTAGTCATGGAGGCAGCAAATCACTCTGCTTGCCAGGTTCTCAGACACACACTCACCTTAGCATAGCCGAAGTTGAAATTGATGGCTTTGGCATGTCCAATATGCAGGATTCCATTGGGTTCTGGCGGGAACCGGGTACGTACCTGAGATGAGAAGAATGGGAGCAGAAGAATTAGGTCAGAACTCAGGTGACCCTAAAGGAACAGATGCTGTTTCTCAGAGAGGCCATGGGGCAATATGCAGGCAGCTCAGGCCCCCAGGCAAATGCTAACAGCACTAGCTTGGCTGGTCATACTCCCACACACCTGTCCCCCAGTGATCTCCAGGTGCTGCTTCAGTAGATCCATGGTATGTGGAGTGGTTACATAGCCTGGGGTCTTGTAGT